ATCAGAGTAGAATACTGGCTGCTCGTTTTCTGTGATACAGAAATATTGCACGATGTTGTGATGATCATCGCAGAAAAAGAAAAATGCCAACGCGTTAATCGGCCCCTGAAGTTTTAACAAATATTCGAATGCACACAAAGATAATCATTCAATTATTTGATTTAAAGTATTGAGCAGGGTTAAAAATTGGAAAAGAGGGAAGTCTTCAAAACTTGATTGTTGGGTGTTGTGGCTCTTCCTTCTGGCTAAAATTTCCCTCGTTTGGCTCTATCTCTAACCGTTTGGGAGCTGGAGGGTCTTTTACGATGAAAATAAGGTAAAAATTGCTGCAATGAACATGAAGTTGTGGAAGAAGGACTCAAATCACAAAATAGAAAAGAAACTACCCCCCCCCCCCACTAAAAAAACTTTTGCTAAGCACAAGGGTGGGCCGTAGTCACGGAGCTTCACCGTTACAATCCTTTCTCGTGTCTAAGAGGCAAATTTTAAAGACGACGGTCTTTAGCGGGCCAACGGCACGCCACATCATTTGGTTATGTTCTTCAGCAAATCGCGCAAATGGCCGCAGGCCCAGCCCCTATCAAACGGAGTTGCCGGCGGAGTGAAGCGGAGCTGGCAACTCTGGTTTGCGGAAGGGCAGGCGTGCTTGTTATTTTGGGAAAAGCGGCAAAAGTTACTGAATGCTGAAATACAAAATGTGTTGTTTAAAAAGCATGTGCTGCTATGAAAGTATACAACACAGTACTGTTGTGTTTTATATCAACATTTTACGTTTGATGTTAAATTTTAACAGTAAACGGTGTGCGAGCCGTAGGTACGTTCACACCACTGTAAATCACAGTGTGATACTGACTGCACATTTTCTGTTATACATATGTATTGCACGATGTTGTGATGATCATCGCAGAAAAAGTACAAGATTAAATTCATTGCTTACATTTGTGATAACAATCACTTATTTGAGCGATACTTCGAGGTATCATAGTTTTGTGCAATGTGCATCAAACTGTTTTGCAATAAATCCAGAATTATCGCATTATTTTGCGATAAGTATTACACAATATTTGTGATAAAAATTCATCACTCCCCGAGGAGTGATAAATCAAGAGAATCACTCCGGGCATTTTATCACTCGAAAATGTGTGAAAAGTATCACACTTTGAATTACAGGGACGGTAAAAGTCGGAGCAAGGTGACCAAGCGACTAGAGGTGTGCGAACAGTTTTAATTCGAATCGAATCGAAACTGTCTCGATTCGATTCGTTTCGATCTCGAAACAAGGCACCTCGAATAGGCCATTCCAAAAAAATAAAGTTGTCGAGGTTCGGGCATAAAACGATAGATTTTGACTAGAAGTAACCTTTGGTCTTAGTCCGAGGTCTCTGCGACGAAGTGAGCAGTGAGCTGATTGGTCTGCTCGAAACGCTCTTTTTGGGCACCCGATGCAAGGCGTCGTCTTGGAGCGCTCGCGAGGGGTGGATAACTCCCCAGCCTAATTCTGCCCAATCCAAACTAATTCAGACCAATTTGATCTAATTCAAAAGTAATTCAACTAATTCAGTCCAATTCAAGTCAATTCACGCTAATTCAGTAGAATAAAATCGCAATAATTCAAACCAATTCAAAAACAATTCAACCAATTCACTCCAATTCAAATTCATTTCAAGCCAATTCAAGCTAATTCAAATTCAATTTTTGAACGCCACGTGCACCCCGCACCCCACACTTACTCAAGTTGGATTTTTTTGTGGCAATCTTAAGTGCTGTATTTTGCGGCATTTAGGCCACTGCATGTGACGGGGGCAGGCCGACAGCGGATTTTGGTGGTTGAGCTAGAAGTAGGGGTCATATGGACCTACGTCGACAATGAGTCACTCCTGTCGGCACCGCGGGGTGCACGTGGCGAGCGCTCCAAGATGACGCCTTGCATCTGATGCCCAAAAAAGGCGTTTCGAACAGACCAATCAGCTCACTGGCGCTTCGTCGCAGAGACCTCGGACTAAGACCAAAGGTTACATCTTGTCAAAATCTATCGTTGTAGGGCCGAACCCCGACAACTTTTTACTTTGGCCTTCAATTTGGAATGGGCCAACTTCGAACTCGAACAATTCGGACGCATCAAAATTTTGAAGTTCGAAATCGGAACGACATGTGCACATGGAGCGCACGCTTGGTAACTTATACTAAAGGGAAGGTTTTTTATTGAATAAGAGGTTGGTTTGCCAATCTCTTTGTTTTTAGAGAGAATCTGAGCCCCTATACTTATTGGCTGCCCCATTATTGTGGCTTATAGCATCTCCTAGAATGTAAGGAAATGATTCGAATCGATTCGCATTCGAAATAGTAAGATTCGATTCGATTCGGGGTAAAATGTTCAGATTCGATTCGATTCGACTCTGAAAACGGGTGATTCGCACACCTCTACAAGCGACTATGTTGCGCTTCAAGCATAGCTCGCTGTATTCACCCAGAAGACCGTTTAGTCCACAGAACCAAACTACATCGGAGGTATAGTAGCTTCGCCTACGGCGTTTCGTTCCGTTTTCAGTATTAAAGATTATTTCTTAAAGAAGAATAGAAAGAATAAGAAAGTGCAAACTAACCGCGTTCTTTATTGGCAGTAGTAGCAGCATTTAATTAATACGTTTAAAATAAAGACATCAAACCTCCTGTTTCCCTCTTTCTTTTTGTACGAAATGAGGAGTTAAATTTTAGGACATTCAAACGTTTAAGAAAGTGAAATGACAAAAAATAAATTTCATAACTTTCGTTTTCTTTCATTTCTTGATCAGGATGTAATACTTAAGTATCACCAAACAGACATAGATTGAT